CAAGTATTTTTACTCAACAAATAAATTTTTATTGATATTCATAAAAAAAAAACTAATAAAATTGGAAACTGAAAATGTCCTTAAACAGTTCAAAATAAATCAAAATATTTTGAAAATGTTATCGTGTATAGAAAATGCAAATATAAACAACCACTGAAAATTTCATGTATCTACGGTCATTTGTTTTAAAGTTATACCAAAAACCAAAATCGATTTTCTCGAAAACAGATTTTGCGTAAAAATTCCCGTTTTTCCTTAATTTTTCTTTTGTTTTTCCCGGCGCTTTTTAAAACTACTTTGAAATTTAAATTTTGACCTCCCCAATGCACCAACGATATTCACTTTCCGATCGAACAAGATACTGAAGTTGAAAATCGAAGCATTATTTCGACTACTTATCGTGTAGACAGACACAAAAAAAATAAAAATAAAAATTATAAAAAAACACACATCATTGTAAAATCAATACATTCATCGTTCCACTCAGAATCTAAAATATATCATTTGATTTTTATTAAATTAAATTAAACATAATGTTTTTTCTCAACTTTATAACTATTATAGGTAATGCATAATATTATTATAATTTATTTAAGATTTAAAAAATATATATATCTACATATTATTCCACAATTATTTGTGCTGGTAACCCCGTACCTACTCCCACTGGGCCGGACGGCTGAATATTATAAGTTCCCCCCCAACTTCCAATAAAGATATCTAAGGAAAAAGGTCTAATCTTAATTGCGGTCCGAGTTTATTTTGGTTACAGACGAATATTGCGGCCAGGATTTTTTTAATTCAAGATAATTTAATATTGACTGATAAAATATAATCACAGTACCTATAATGTAAGATACCTACCAATAAGTAGGTACACCTAGTCGTTGTTTTACTATACCGCCTAGAACGTTCCACCGCTTTTATGTTTGTGTTTTAATTTATATTTTATTTATAATGTCAAATGAAATGTTGAGGGAAAAAAATCGCAGTTTACTTGTAGGTAGGTAATCGATGGATATAAATTTAATTTCCTTAAATATTTAAAAAATAATGTTAAACGATATTGCTGTACTAAAAAGACTACAGCATGCCTACCTACCTATTTATTCATTTAAAATATAATAACGTAATTATTAAAAAAGTTTTAAATCATGAAAACCACGAAAAAGCTAGTGATGAAACATTAAACAGACAGACTGAGTAAGTGATCAAGTGAAACGTAGAACTGTTGATGATATAAATGAGAAGCCAAGTAAAATTATTCATAGACATCTTGCACAAGACGTAGAAACTTTGTTAATATACGTTTGAACATTAATAAGAAAAAGTATTCACCATGCATCCATGCTCGAATTATGCCAAAGTTATCTGTGGATTTAAATGAATTACCTATCTCATTAAATAATATGAGTAATTTATCAATTACAAATCGTAACGAAAATTTTTTACTTGTAAATGACAACTTTACTCATCAAACATTTTATTATTTTCTACTGAAACTAATTTAAAATTGTTGAGTGAAGTTGACACAATTTTTGTAGATGGGACTTTTCAAAGTTGTCCGAAATTATCAACAAAAATGTTTACAGTTCATGGTTTACAAAATAATAATTACTCACCACTATTATTTTTTAAACTTCCCAATAAAGAAACTAAAACATATGCGAAAAGGCGTTTATGCACATCATTTCCGAATGTACCAAACTCAACATAACATCTTCACCAAAAACATTTCTTGCTGATTTTGAAAAGGCGATTCATGTTAGTTGAATATCTAATGCAAGCGAAGTTCATGCAAATTTTTATTCAGTTTGGGGGCCCCTTTAAATATTTCCCTGTAACATAAATACTACCTATCCACCCCTGACCGTAACTATAGGCTACTTGAGGCCTGAGTACAAACTAAAATCTTGAGGTCCCTTATTATATTATTTGGTACTTTTTCGTTATCGTACCACAGGCCGATTACTGCGACTACTCAATTCCGTTATATCGACTACCACCCCGACACTCTACCAAACATACTTTTTAATTGCCAGTAACAACATAGTTGACGGCGGAAACCATGTGATGCAATGGAGGTGGTGTGAAAGAGCAAGTCGATTGATATTTTTGGTTTTTTTTTGTCCGAGCTCAGCGCAGCGAGCTAGTTGCTACGTGGCCATGACTGTAATTAATAATTTACAATCTTGGAGGTTAAGGAAGATCTTGAAAATCTATAAGACGAAGGAAAAAACTAGGCATGAAATACACTCAAATACGTACAAATCGAGTGCTGAAATTCCGCAAAAAAAAAAATTAAATAATGTTAATTTTTATTATGGGGGGAGGGGGTTGCTGTCCGAACTCCATTAATTATTTTTTTTAGGGGAATGAGGGTCAAAACTAGGCTTGACAATTCGTGTGAACAACTTTAACTTGGCTTTGTTGTTAGATCTAAAACAGAAGATCTTTTCTGTGGCTAAAGAAAATAACTAAGTTTTTGAATTAATGTTGGTTATGTTTTTATAATTAATATTATATAGTTTTTAAAAAATTCCAAATCTGAAAGTTCAAATAAGTTTATGATGTTATTATTATTAACAGTTCTTTGGTTAGGCTGAAAATTAATTTGATTTTAAATGCGAATAAATAAGCTATTTTTTTTCGAAATTCGCCTTCCTTAATAATTGTGGAATATGTAATTAATAATTAATATGTAAATAGAAAACAAATAATTTAAATAGGTAAAGTTCTAATAATTAGATGCGATTAAGGGTAAACAATTATTAAAATTAAAAAATACAATAAATTTACAATATTGTATACGATAACCTATAGATGACACACACTTTTGAAAGTCGTATAACTTTTCATACGCTTGCATGTGAGTCGTGCAAAATTTAAAATTTAAAATACAAATTAGAGTTTAATGAACAACATGTCATAAAGATTTGTGTAATCGTATCAATGTTATTATTTCGATTTCACTATAAGTTACCTATTGATGTAATTAATTAAAAATATTACACAAAGTGTAAAATAAGGTATCTATTTCATGAAAAATACGATTACACTAAGTGGATACGAAATATACACAATTTACATAGGTCTGTTGGTGTGTGAATGTTAACACTACAAAGTATTTCGGTTGTTCAAACTCGACTCCCAAACATTCCCACCATCTAAACGAGACCGCTAAAGCACTATTTCAAATCCTTATAAGTTATCGTAAATTGTGTTTACCACTTAAATAGGTATACATTGTGATAAAACAGGTAACCGCAATACTGCATATTCTATTGCCTATACTTATCTCAGAAGGGGTTTTCATACTTATATACATTTTTCGAATAACATTTAGAATTCAAGATGGAATTATTATTATTGAGATTTGATATTATACTATTAAATACTAATAATATTATTTAAATTAAAACGAGTTTTTCAATCATTTAATATGTTTCTGTTACGCATAATATTATGTATTTACAAAATTTTAAAAAGGTAGGCAAGTGGGAGTCGCTCTGCTGTACAGTAGGTTACATGAACTACTTGTAATGGATGGTGTTAAATTTGAATTCAATGATGTAATATCATTGTATAAGAAAAACTATTCTGAGTTAAGACAGTCATTCAGCCTATGATATTACTAAGTATATTTGATGATATTATTGTGATTAAAGTAATTTATATATAACCTATTTACATGGAACCTTGTATAAATTTTCAATCCTTAAATATAAAAATTAAAGATTTTATAAATTTATGACTAAAAAATAATTATTAAATTTTCAATTTTCAATTTGATACATTTTGTCAAAATTCGAACTTTAAATGCTTATAAAAAAAAATCGTACATTTGCATTTTTGATATCTTTCAACTGCTATTGTAACAATATATCAGGATCCTTGTATTAAATTTACTGCCATTTTTACCCAACAAATAATACTTTATTGACAATTGTAGAAAAAAAAACTAAAAAAATTGCAAATTGACAATGTCCGTAAACAGCTCAAAAAGAGTCAAAATATTTTCAAAATGTTATGGTGTATAGGAAATGAAAATATAAACATTCAGTCAAAATTTCATATATCTATGGTAATTTGTTTTAGAGTTACACTAAAAACCAAAATCGTTTTAGTCGAAAATCGATTTTCCGTAAAAATTCTCGTTTTTCTTTAATTTTTCTTTTGTTTTTCACTGTGCTTTTGAAAACTGGACAATGTTTACTTTTAACTCCGCAAAGTACCAACTAGATTCACTTTTCTATCAGAAAAGATACTGTTGAAGAAATCTTAGAACTTTTACTGTTCTTAAAAAGTGATGACAGACACAAAAAATAAATAATAAAAAAAACACACATCATTGTAAAATCAATACATTCATCGCTCAGCTCAGAATTTAAAATAGTTATTATTTTAAAGAACATACGATGGGTAATGAAATGTTTTAAAATATTTTACTATTCCAGCTTACAACCAAAACTTATCAGCAAACCTCAACTATTATCACAAAATTACAATCCTTATCACCGCATTAAACTTTCGAATTTTAACCGAACATCATCGTAGTCACAGGCGCGACTTGTATAATTGGCTCTGAAGTTGGCACTCACTCTCAGCTAGTTTCACTAGTAACTATTAATAAATAAAGATTATTTTTTTATTTTTAACCTACTGATATTCTAACTTCAATCTTGCTTTTAAATATGTTTATTCCCATAGATTTGGCTATACTAAAATATACCGTACACTACTTGTCGAAAAAATGTTTAAATAACTTGCAACAATCATTACAACTGGAATAGAAATTGACTGTGGAAAATGTAATGATTATATTATTATGTTTTATCCATACATTATATTCTAATATATAAATATAGATGTAGCATAAAATAGAATAAGAGTAATATGTACAATCTTCATGAGCCACGAGTGGGTAATTGCATTAAGAACTTAATAAAATACTCTTGTCAATTAATATTTAATAATATTCAAATGTGTACAATTGATTTTTAGTGTTGATTTATATCGAGAAAATTGTCTTGTGATTTATCGAACCAACCATTAAAGTTAATTTTGGGAATTAATTTGGAACCACAATTATGAATTGAACTATTATATTCCGCATGTATCAAAAAGACTTGTTGTGGTTCATAACTGGATGCTTGTAAGTTATCACATAAAACTCTGGCAAGCGTCACTTTTTTTAAATTCTCCAGTTGATCTTAAATTAAAAATAGGTTAGTTAAAATTATGTTCATTCATTAAAAATAATTTAGGTAGGTATACTAACAATCAGAGAATACTCCTGGTACGTCATAAAAATATCTATCTGCAATTCTAGTTCTTACAAATTGTTCTCTGATGATACATCTCATCGTGGGACCAACCATTGCGTCGTCAACGTGTTTTTCCGACAATGCACCAACCAATAGATCTATATCGTTCCAAGTTTTGTAAAGCTTCATTAATCTATCAGCTGACTAAAAACAAAGAGAAAAACAAAAATAAAGTAATCATTAATCAGTTCAGTAGTTATATTATTAATTATCAATTTCAAATTTGTTTTCAAACTTACACCTTCGACCATGATCTCAGACAAATCTTGCATGTTTTCTATGTCTTTTAGTCCACAATATTTTCTAAATTGCGTGTAGCTTGGAATACCGTGATCGCGGCTTCGTTGTATATCCAAGCTGAAAATATCCATTCCAAACACATCATTTGGATCAATCCTATATAGGTAATTTGTAATCTATAAAAATATTTTTAAAAAAACATATACTTAAATAATATTGTCTACAATATTTAAGTCATCAACGTTAATGTTGTAAAAAACAAAGTTTTTAAATTGATTGTGTTTTATAAACTTACCGTTTGTGTGAACAGCATATCGACTTTTTGTGTAGCCTGCACAGTTAGTCCGATTAGCATTTTTCCGATACCTGTGTCAAAATATTCGCCCAATATGAGCGGTTGGTTGTAATATCTCTTTATAGAAGGTAATGAAGGTGTAAATAATTTTGAAGGTTTGTACCATTTGTTCATCGAGTTTGAACTAAATAAAACATGCACAAAAAATATAAGTAGGTAGCATTTAGGTACCTAGGTACAACAAAATACAAATTTATTATTTCAATTTTTTCTAACGTCAATATTCTTATATCTAATTGTATATGTATCATATTGAATCAATTCTAGGTAGAATATTTTTACGCACATTCTGATCTATGATATAAATGACATAATATAATGTATTGAAACAATATTGGTACCTAACGATCTAAACCTATACGTTCAATATACGCTACTATCTTGTATAAATTTCCTTTTAAAAAAATAGGTGGACAAGTTGGCATCGCTTTGCGGTACAGTAGATATCATTATATCAATCATGTTGTTGTAATATATGTAGTATATTTAAATTCGATGATAAATCATTGTATAAGAAAAACGATTTTGAGCGGGGACGTCATGTCAGCCTTACAGAGGTACAAATAATAATAAATAATTATAGTATAAATAATCAAATTTAAAAGTAAAAAAAAAAATTAACAAAGATCGAAAATATCTCATGGCATATCTTTCAGTGAACTTTTTCTTTTTCATAGAGGTTCAAAAACTTGTTGGAAAACCTCTATTCAAATTATTTATGTTAGCAATGAAAAGAAAAATGTTTATGAATTTCGAAAGTGTGTCTGGTTATTCATTTTGAATACAACAAAATATCAAAAATTGATAGACTAAAATTCCTTAATTTACTAATGAAAATCCAATATTGTAAAACTTTTAAATTCAAAAGCTCATAAAAAGTTACATTCCAGAAATCTTTTTTTTTATTGATTACTGTAGGAACACTTTTGGGGAATCTGACAAACAAGAAAAAAAACACACATCATTCGAATTTCAGAATCTAAAATGTAAAAGTCAATGGTTAATTATGAAGAACCTTAAACCACTAACAAGGACACAAGGGTGAAATAACAAATAAGGTGACAATATTGTTGCATGTACCTACGTATTGATCATACATTTTAAATAAATATGTTTGAATACTGACGATTGTTAACGTCTATTTTAAAAAAAATGTCACCATGAAATGAACGATAGTTATAAATATGGCAATTATAATAATATTATATGTGGTATATGCCGGAACCTAAGTGAATCGGTGATCATAGAATTGGCGAACGGGAGTATCGCGGTCGCGAAGCTGTTGCTAACTGTCGGGTCAGCATTCTCGTCGTAGGTGGTTCTCTGCCCAAATCCCAAACCGTTTTCTTTAGTGTAGTTAACGCCAAGTAGTGCTGGCAGCCATTCGTTGTACGTGATGTGTTGTATGCAAGCTGTCACGATTTTCTTGGCCTCTTGGAAAAGTTCTTCATCACTCAAGAAGAGTCTTTCTTTGTGCAGTGCTCGGGCTACCCGGTTGTGTTCCCTTACCCACAGCGTGTACACGGCATTGAGTTGTGGAAAAGCATTTGCTCGAATGTCACCAGCCCGAAAGCACGTACCGGGGCCGTTCTGACAAACGTTATCCGTGGTTTCCAGAGGCAATAGATCCCTCTCATGATCGTCATAAATGTTTCTTTGTACCGAAAGTAGGCCGAGCGACATTCGTCTCAACGACAACGTCTGTTGTTCCGTTATACCGTATAGCATCGATGCGTCTAAATAATGGGTAGCTTGGTTCATCTGTGAAACATAAATAAATCTTAAATAGTGCCTACGAATTTTTAAATATTCTATTAGTTTCTGTGGTTTTTGCGAATTTGCAACTCAGTTCTAAACACTGAAATGCTGGAAATATGTGCACCACCCCATGTACGCGTGTTTTTGTAGTTTGTTTATTTTGTATTTATTATTATCAATATATAAACGAAATGTATTAAATTATCCAAACGGACAAAATGTGCAATTATTTATTTAACACACATAATTTTGGAAATTCGGTGAAAGTTTTTTATGGAATTATCCTGCTTCTATAAAATGCAGAGTCTTTCCATCAACATTTCTACAATAAGTATTATTATTTATATTAATAAGATTATCAATATGTTATTATTTAATATGACTGTTACTTGTTCCATGGGTCCAAATTTACAATCAGGACGCACCGCTGGTCTCGAACGCAAGTAATTCATGCAGTTCATGTAATCAAACGGATCTGGTTTAAAATATCTATCGTCGTCCGGTATAAATATGGGCTTGCAGGACCTTATGTATTTGTTCAGAGTAATTTGATTCCTTTTGTCCTTATCACAACAATTCACAAATTTGTTCTCTTTTCCTAGGGGTTTATTATGTGTACGCTTATATTAATTAAAATCAATTAATTTATATATGGTTATGTGCAGTGTTAAGCCGAGATAAATATAATTTTATCTAGATAAAGATAAATTATAATAATGTTTTCTAGATAAAGATAAAGATAAAGATAACTAAATTATTTGTTTACCTAGATAAAGATAAAAAAAAATTATTTTATCTAGATAAATTATAAGATAGATTTTTTTATATATTTTTATGGCACTCTCCGTAAGCTCGTAGCAATATAAAATAACTTAATAGTATGTTATCGAAAATGTCGATAGTTATTATTAAATACTACCTGCTTAATAAATTACTTAATTGTCTACCTATATTCTATAATAATTAAAAGCCATTTAATAAATTAAATTATCTGGATAAATTCATCTAGATAACGGTGATTTTTATCTTAGATATAATTGTGTGAATTAATATTTTCTATTTTATCTAGATAAGATAAAAGATAAAAGAATATTTATCTAGATAAACTCAACACTGGTTATGTGTTTAATGTGTGTACCCATTGTAGAAACTGTCGTGTGTGATAGATCGTGGCCAATGAACATCGTCCAGTACGCCATCATCATCGATTTTGTGGGGTCAGAAGAGTCCTCGTCTTTTACAAGATTTGTGCTCAGTATTCTGGGATTAGGCCGCATTTCTTCGTTAATATTTGGCATCTCGTAAACACCTGAGTGATCGATTAATGAAATCACAGCATTAGATCCGCAAGAATGTAAATTAAAATACGTCATTTATATTTAGCAGAAATGAAGTGTTAGTGGGAAGAGTGCTATGAATATCTTAATGTTTTTAATAAAAATAAATATATAAATATAGGTTACGTGTGATTTGCATCATCAAAAAAATAAGAAATATTACCGTCTTTGTAGACTGGAAACAGCAAACGTTTATAAGGCGTGTTTGCCTTTCCCAAATATTTACGTTTCAGGTTGTTACAAGATCCGTCCAGACTACGATAGTCAAAGTTGCACGAATAATTGTTGTTGTGATACTCGGACATACACATCTCACCCAATGTTGCAGTCACATTCAGATTCAGATTCATTAAATCTTTGGAACATTTTATATCACTGTGTCCGTTCCTGAAATTGTAATTTAATTTATGCATATTATTATAATAAACATATATATATATATTTTATTGAGATATTTATTGTATGCTTATATACCTTAGACAATAGCTCTTTATCAAACTTCGTGCAACTTCATATATAATTTCAGCATTTCGAGACCCTGAATGTCCCTCTTTGGAAGGCATAGAATCGATCATTTGTCCATAAACCGGGCTTCCAATTGGCAAACGACTAATATTTGATAATATAATATCCTCTGAACGTTGCCTGTTTTCAATTCTTTCAACAACATTTTTAATTTCTTTCGCTATATCAGATCGAATATAATCATAATCGAGTCGTTGGTACCATTCGCTTGTGTAACATGGTGGAACGAATATCACCGTACAAATCAACAATCGTATTATAATTATCGAAGTACTCATTCTGACAATTTTTATGAACTGTAATCAATTTACAAAATCTATAAATTTTAACTATAACTGCAACTTAATTTATTTAACTATTTTTTAGAATTGAATTAGGTATTGAATGCATTAAAATATATTTACACAATTACTTCTCATATAAATTAAACACAAAAATGTTAACTGGTATAATTTGTTAAAAATATTAACTATATCAATAAATTATGTTCATACTCCACACATTAGTTTATGTATAATTAATCTCTGCTGGTTTTAGATGACAACTTTTAGATCCTGAGCATAGCTAAATAATATATTTATTTTTTATATAAAATAATAATTTGTGCGCGTGTGTGTGCAGGCTGTAGCTACATCATGGTTGAAATATACAGGTTATTGCATATCGACTCGGATTGTTATCTTCAGTAACAAAATGGCTGCGTAAAGGGATATCACAAATATAATTTTTTCTTATCATCAAAAATACGCTGAAAAAAGCTAACAAATTCAAAATTCCACGTATACATACTTGATTATTATTGGCTCCCTCTACGCTGCCATTTTTGTTTTTATCATAAAATATTTGCTTGAGAACGATTATAATAAGGCAGTAACTCAATTTTCCAAATTTTTTTTTTTTTTTTTCTATAGGGTATCACTGTATTTCTGGAAGTCCAACGATACCCTATAGAAAATAAAAAAAAAAATTTGGAAAATTGAGTTACTGCCTTATTCGTTGCGAATGTCGATATGTGCAATTACCTTGTATATTTCAACCATAAGCTACGTTCAAAGATTAATTTTAATTTTCTGTAGATCACTTTATAGTTTATATCAACCATTATCACACAATATATACACGAGTGTTTTTAAGTAAACATATATTTCGGAGAAGAGACCATTTAATCAGTAAGGTTAAGTGTAAAAATATCTATTAACCTGACGGCAGTGTTGGATATTACATATTTAGGGATATATTTAAGGTAATATAATAGTTATATTATGGTTTTAAAACCAAATTAATCATGCAATTTTAAGTGCTATCAACTCCCAACCTTGGACTTATTACCTATTACTTACGGATTTTGTGAACTATCTAGATGGCTATAATTTTTATCTAGATAAGATAAAGTTATAAAGTTTTTATCTAGATAAATTTAGCTATTGCACAACACTGATGCCGGGTGACAAGTGTCGTTATAACTTATGTGTATGAACCTACTTATTTTAATTATTTGTTTGTAAATTATAGTTAGGTACTTACTCTCCGATAAATTAATTATTTTGAATAATTAACAGATCCCCTGCTTATCTTTGTAAAATCTATCATGCGATTGAACCAGTATATATTGTACCGATAAGCACCAAAATTCCTTATTCAATGATTGAGATAATTTAAACACTCACTCGGAGTGCCTTTTTATTAGATCTTCCGTACTTCTGTCTGGTGTTGGAGGTGTCCCCAGAACTACATTCATTTTGCAGACTGATTTCGGTTTTCAAGAGATATTACCACCTTGAGAGCATCGGACGAACGACAATCCTATTGGTGGAACCACTTTCTCCCACCCTACATTATTCTAATAGCTCTTCTACCCACCCGCCAACCATACAAACAAACACACGCACGAATGCAAGACGTTTCATTTTATATTATTATATCATATTCAATCTATTTTTTTAATTGTTTTTCACCTCAATTTGCTTTTTCATTCTTTCGTGTTCTAATATTTTAGGGTGTATAACATACATTTTCAAATGATTTTGTAGTTGGAAATTCATTTTTAAGATATAAAAAGTTAATACAAGATTCCCCATTAGTTTTTAATAAAAAAAATGTTTACCGAAAAGTAAATTTAATAGTTATTGAGCATTAGAAGTTAATTTTTTTTTCAATTATTTATTATTTATACATCTTTTTAGTTTTAACTATTTTTTTTAAGCATTCGAACTTAAATGTTTAAATGTACCTATTCTATTTGTTATTATGTTTGTTATTGTAATTTATAATTTATTGTTATGCAATAATATATTAATTGCAGAAAAATCCTTAAAACATTCCATAATAATTACTAAAATTTATAAGTTTCTACGTGACGTATAACATTGATTAACAAATGTTGGAGGGGAGTACACATTTTAAAACTGTAATTAAAAATTCTTACAAAATGTATACAAATAAATTATTGGTGTTGTATATTTTGGTCTGAATTTCACACATTTTAAAGCGTTTGAGAAGTGTATAATATTTAACAAATTAATTTCGATATTTATAAAAATATTCTCAGCACAATAGACGAGACGAGCATATTTTAGTTGTATTATTGTTAATTTCGTCATAATCCTAAATAATAAGACGTACCTACTGTTGTACATTAATATTATTAATTATTATTATTGTCCATAAATATGTGTTCATTTAAAATAATCACAAGAGACTAAAAAATGTTCATCGTCCTTAGGTAAACTATGTCGACATTTTCATAGTTGTTAACTTTTTAATATTTCATTGTTATTAATTTTTCATTACTATTATAATATGGTATATATTACGTACAATTAACTATAATAATGAATAATTAATTTTTTTAATTTTTTTAATAAATAGAAAGTAGGTAACTATCTAATTTCGAGTTATTGACTATTGTATTCAGCAACGGTCTGAAAAATAAAATCATATTATTACTATACCGAACCGCTGCACTGAAAATAAGGCAAGTTGTGTTTTCATGTTTTTAAAAAATGTGTTTATATGTGTTTGTTGAGTTGTAACTACAGTGTATAGAAATAATGGAATTTGACCTTGGGTTTCGAGCTCGGCAGTCGCCAGTTTATTCCTTTGTAAATGTTGTCGAAGGGTGAAGTTGAACAATGAGAAACTGGTTTGATAAATCGTAGGAATTCAAAAATACATGAGAGATTTTACAGAGACGGGCGGTTATATGTAATTTATAGTGAACTGAGTAACTGTATTGAACCCATGAATTTATTAACTGGCAAATAATAAAATATACAATACACAATTAAGGTATAAGTTTTATCTTTACATTAAATTATTAATATGATTTTTTCAATTAGAATATACATTTATTGTGTAATATTTTAATGAATTTATTATGTTCAAATTATAGATATAACGTTATATACTATAACGAATACGTTAGATACTGATACTTGGTACATATTATTACATACAGTGGCGTATATAGGAATTAATTTCGGAGTGGGGGTGAATATTGTGTGAACCCCCCTAAATAAGCCACTGCATATACATATATACATGAAAGGTTAATGTATTTGTAATAAAGTAATAAAAGATTATTAAATATTAAGTGTAATGATTTTTAGAGGGGAACGATAAAATTTTTAAAAGAAGTTATATATAGGTAAGTATTTAGGTACCTATATTCCAGGGCTTTGCACCGGAATCATTTTTTCGGGTTTCGGGTATTGAAAGAAAATTCGGGTTATTGAATTCGGGTGTTACGGGTTAATACACTTTTATGGTTACGGTTAAATGAAAATGTATTCGGGTTAATTATGGTTAATTTATGTGTTAAAAAAAACACATGTTGTATATCAATTAACATGAGTTTTTCAGTGCAAATTTGATAAAGTAATCTGATTTTATATTTAAAGTAAACATAATGAAAAAAATTAAAAAATTAAATTTAATATTAATACTTATTAGTTATTAGTTTATTACTTAGTACCTTCTCAGTCCTTTTTTCTACAAAAGAAAGTTCTTGCTTATTACATATTTTAATTTTTAACTAAACGTATTTTCGTTATATTATGTTAGATAACACAATTACTATTGTCTAATATTGAATATTGTGAAATAAAATAAAACAATCATCTAGCATCAAGGTCTTCTTTAATATTTAATTTATTATTTTAAGGTTACAAAAATAAAAAAATTGAGTTATCTGTTACACACTTACATTACTATCTTCTTATCTTCTTAGTCGCGTTAGTTGCAAAAAATAGGTACATACAAATTAATATGCCATATAATTTTCAATAATTCGGGTTTCGGGTTATTTCGGGTGTTTTTTGGGTATTAATTTTTTTCAATCGGTTTTTTTTATACGGGTTTTGTTTTATGATATTTATTTGGGTTAATTCGGGTTTCGGGTTACGTTCGGGTGCAAAGCCCTGGTATATTCAACTATTTTTAGGTGCGTATACCCATAAATTTATTTACCAATACATCTCTGCCTATGTGGTTTATTCTTAATGTAACTTGTAAACTAATAAAAGACTAATTTGTACTTAAGATTATTTCTATTTATACGTAATCAAAAAAAGTTGTATTATTGTATTTGTTTATGCAGGAAAAAATTGAATATTGAAAAACTCTGAATTTTTCCCAAAATGACTTTATTGCTTATACTATTGTATATAAGTTGTATATTGCTATACAACGAGCTATTTAACAATGTACCTATGCCTACTGCTTAGGGCCAAGATTAATCCAGCCCTGACTAAACAATTGTAAATTAATAATGATGGTACCTAATGGGAGAAAATCATTAGGAGGAAAAAATATATTATGAATCGATGTAGTAATACAGTATATTATTAAAGTTACGAGAAAAATGTCCAACATTTGTTGACAATTATTTATCTCTGTGGCCTGTAAACTATGTAGGTAGGCTATAACAAACAGTTGGTGAAAATGCGTGTTTTTCCCCTCTAAAATAATTACGATTCAAGATTTTAAGACATAAAAGTTTCATTCAAGGAAACACCACGCAACACTATACCCAGGTAAGGTACCTATATCAAATCAAAAAGACATCCCGAAATCATGTGTTTACGATATTATTTCTACACACATTTTAAAGAATCAAACATAATAACGACCCCCTTTCCACTTCCCTTAGCACTGTGTGTTTTTTTTTTGTGCGCCCATCGGCTACCTACAGTATACTAGTAGGAATTCGGGACAGTCACGTTCGCTCAGTGTTTCCAAACTGTAGTATGGTTTTCATGATTATAGTGCAATGATTTTA